GGAGGTCATTTTGTGGCTGTGCAGGACATTGGTTAGGCCACTTTTGGAATACTGCATGCAATTTTTGTCTCCCTGCTATAGGAAAAATGTTGTTAAACTTGAAACGGTTCAGGAAAGATTTACAAGGATGTTGCCAGAGTTGGAGGGCTTGAGCTATGGGACGAAGCTGAATAGGCTGGGACTATTTTCCCTGGAGCATCAGAGGCTAAGGGATGATCTTATAGAGGTTTATAAAATCATGATGGGCATGGATAGGGTGAAGACCCATGGTATTTTCCCCAGGGTAGGGGAGTCCAGAACTAAAGGGTATAGATTTAACGTGGGAGGGGAAAGATTTCGAAGGGACCTAAGGGGCAACTTTTTCATGCAGAGGGTGGTGCGTGTATGGAATGAACAGCCAGAGGAAGTGGTGGAGGCTGGTTCAGTTACAATGTTTAAAAGGCATCTGGATGGGGACATGAATAGGAAGGGTTTGGAGGGATATGGGCCAAATGCTGGCAAATGGAACTAGACTAATTGAGGTTATCTGGTCAGCATGGATGAGTTGGACAGAAGAGACTGTTTCCATGTGGTATGACTCTGTGACTCTATTAAATCCTATGTGCCACATTTCACTGTTACACAGCAGTTGTGTGTCAAGCAACAATGGGCTGGATCTTCCAGTGAGTATAGTAGAGAGTGCACCTAGCCACTCACCAGTTTATGCTGGAGCCTCTGCATCTTCTGCTCCGGCAGCAATGTGAGACTGAACAGAGCTGCAAAGTTAATTGTTGGATGTAATTGCAGCGTAGCCACACCTTTTTTTTTGTCACAAACTGAAGACATGTCCCTTAAGATCTGTCATCAGTTCATTGACTTGCATTGTTTTAAATGGAGCTGTCAAAATCTGATCATGCTTCATCCCCTGATAGTGCTAACTACCAACTGTCTGACAATGTTCACTCTCACCCACCTCCCACCCCATCAAAAAACTGACTGCGTCCAACTACAACTCTCACCCTGAGAGCACGACTCTCATCCTATGAGCACTCACTCCATTTATGCCATGAAAATGTTAGTCTCCCACCTCCTGGACACACTGTGCGCTCATGGACTGAGCTAATTGTTTCAGGATAGCTGTGTTGGTTCACTCGCCGAGCTGGTTCGTTGTTCTGCAGATGTTACATTACCCTGCTGGGCAACATCATCAGTGCAATTTCAACAAGACTCCTATGACTATTGGGCATCAGAGTAGCATACAAACCCACGTCAACCCTACGCCAACTACGAACTCGAATCAAAGACCTCTTACCCACTATGGACAGAACCAACATAATATACAAAAAATACACTGATGATGTTGCCCAGCAGGGTAATGAAACGTCTGCAAACTAACAGACCAGCTCAGTGAGCCAACCAACCATAGCATCCACAACCCAAGCTACAAATCTACTCAAGAACTTTGTTTCAACATTGGTTGGATGGGAGCCAGGCATATTGGAGAAAGTGAGTTGGGAGAAAGGGTTCAGGGGTGGGTGAGCACAGTCTGCGGTGTGGAAGGGCTAACAGTGCTGAGTTTTGGGGCGTTTAGGGGTGGGGTGTGGTTTGAAACATTGCTGAAACGTTCCGAAGTGCTCTGACGCTGCAGCGGTATTTGGTGTGGAGTCACATACCCGAGCAGGCTTCACAATTGCTATGGAAGGCTCTAAGTAAATCCATGTAAAACCAGGGTAAGTACCAGGCAAACTCTGTTGGACTCGCAGAGCAGGGTAAATCTAACAGTTACACTTCCTGCTGTGATATGCCCATCTTGGGACTGTCTTTGGATCCTGAGATGCATCAGTGACACAAGTTGAGTTGGAAGCCTCATGGCACCAATGTAATGGTATAGCAGCTACGTGGAGAAATATAAAAATGCACACTACGATAACCCAGCACTTTTACTGTATTGTATAATTCTTTCAAACTTACTGGGAACGAACCACGAGTCTTCACAAGTTGAGAGCTACAAGTACCCACTCTGCAATGGGAGTACACGTGTCCGACATGCACTAGATGTCTTGTTCAAATTAGATTGATCTTATATTTTTCCTCTACATCAACCTGTTCACAGATGTTATTACATACCCCTGAAGCAGGATGGACTTGAACCCAGCCTCCTGGCTCAGAGGTAGGGACACTCAGTCATGCAGCTACACATACACTAGGGGCACTATGGTCGTAGTCTGCTGAGCCCAAGTGTATACTGCTGTGGATAGAGTTAAAGTCCTGTTACGTGAGTGCCAGCCATCCCCACACGTTGTGGAATCACTGAAACACTGGGAGGACTGGACCCACAATTTGCCCATTTCAGTCTGACTGCTCTCGCCGTCTGCCACCTCCTTTCGATCCCCTGGGTGGAGGTCAGGTGGATGCTGGGAGGAAACCTACGGCCGCTGCCTGAGTGAGGATCTGCAGGGAGTTATCTGAAAATCTGGAGGCAGCTTTGACCTGCTCCTCTTCCTCTCAGTAGGCAGCTGCCTCCACAGCGAGTGGTAGGCCTCCAATGCCAAACATTTCCGAAAGCCCTTCGTGGCTGGGACTTGCCATTGGCACCATCGTCAGTCAGCCGAACCCAACCCTGGGCCAATGAAAGCCTTTCCAGTTAAAAGTTGTACTGCATCAGTGAAGGTCCTGGTGACACACTGTCAGGATCTACCAGATTGCTGAACCAGAATTCAAAATCCCAAATCTCGACACAATTCCTTTGTAGAACAAGGTAGGAGCTGATCTGGATCTTAACTCAATCACCTGTCTTGACTCCATATCCTTTATTATTTCCAAATTACAAAAAGCTACCAGTTGTTGTTTGGAAATGACTATTGAATTAGCATGGGCAGCTCTCTGTGGGAGAGAATTCCTCACTCTGACTACCCTTTGCATGCAGATGTATTTCTTCAAGTCTCTGCTGAATGGTCTGGCTCTGAGGTCAAGGATGTGCTAGCCATGGAAGATGTGTCATAACACTGCCAATCAAGTTGAATGTCAGCCTGTCAATCCTTGCAATACTCCTGAAGGCAGGCAGTAAGAGTGTGAGAGTCTCTTGGTCAGCCACCCTGCAGTAGGCAATGACAAGACACTCCTGTACATTGCCATAAACATGGACCAATCCAATGGAAGTCCGTGGCCCAATCCTCATAAATAAGGCTGTGAGAAAAGGTAGAGACTACTTGTTTTACTCTATTGTTGTGTCACACTGCATATGTCTGTCCATTGTGTTCCCAGTTACTGATAAATGTAACAAAGAGTTGAGCTTCTTGCAGAGCACCTGCAATCAAATCCTTCCAATTTGACGATGTGCCCATTAAATCTACTCTTTTCTGAAAATAAACTTCACAGGGGTTAATTTTGCCCTGGAGGTGTACTGCAACAGAAACCAAATCAAATGGTTAATGGAAACTCATAGATCTAGCACAGAGACTGAGCAAAATTAAACCAAAATAACATTATCCAGGGTGACATTGCGCCCTAGCCCCTGTGGTACCCACTCGTCTCTAAAGGTCTCTGCTGGTCAACACTCAAATGGACACTGAGCACAGATGTAACCACAGAACAGAGACAGTCAGCACTATAACCCTCTCTGCCCATTATCTCTACTCTGTCTCTTATAGTCTAAAGAAGATCCTAAACAGATCAGAAATTTGAGTTCAGGTCCAACAGTTTTACTTTTAGCTAACAGTCTCTTGGGTGAAAACGTACCCAATGCCTGTTGAGAGTTATTATAAATTACATCCATAGGCATTCCCATAGCTGGGTAAGTTCCTCAATTAGGGTTCATTACTCTTGGCTACCTTTTACCAATCCATGTTAGCTCTTTCTAATCAGCTCAGATTTCTCCAAGTCGTTCTCATTCATTATAAATTTAAACAACTTCTCCAAATGGAAGTTAATCTGACCTTTCCTGTCTTTCTCTCTCTCTCTCTCTCTCACACACACACCTTCCTTGAATAATGAAGACATTTTTATAATTTTCCAATTCGTGACTCAAGAATTTAAAAAAAGTGATGGCCAAAGAACCTGCAAAATCCTCAGCCACATCCTTTAAAAGACTGGGGCTAAAACCATCAGGACCTGGGTTTTGTCAATATTTGGTGGTATTTTCTTTTTAATACAGGTTTACTACTGGGAGCTGGAGCAATTGGATGCCTCCAGGAATGCAGTCAACCAGAGTTAGCATAATGTAATTATTCAACAAGTCTGCCATTTCCCAGAATTGTTACAGGCAGCAGGAAGCCATTCAGCCCATTATGATTGCTATCCAATCAGCATAATGACTTATTGCCATTCTCCTACATTGCCTTACTTTCTTTTGTCATGTTACCCTCGCCTGTTTCTAAAGGCCCAGGCTTCTATCTTTTGTTATCCTTGATGATTGGAAAAATATTGAGTGTTAATCTTGATTTCCCTCACAAGGTTCTTGTTGTATTCCTAATGAACATCTTTCACTGCTGTCTGTTTTCTTCCTTTGCAATCCTTTAGATGTCTCCCAGTCTCCTAGTGAGAACCACAGCTTTCTGACACTGAATGGGGGTGCTCCCAGGGATCCACAGCTGCCACAAACTGTGCTTTTTCTTTTATTCATTTATGAAATGTGGGCATTGCTAGCTAGGCCAGCGTTTATTGCCCAGAGGGCAGTGAAGAGTCAATCGCATTGCTGTAGGTCTGGAGTCACAGATCAGATAAGGATGGTAGATTGCAGTTGGATATTTGCAATAATCAACCACAGTTACATATGAGATAACAAGGTGTAGAGCTGGATGATCACAGCAGGCCAAGCAGCATCAGAGGAGCAGGAAAGCTGACGTTTTGGGTCTGGACCCTTCTTTGGAAATGTTACATATGGTTGCTATCAGACTATAAATTTCAGATACTCTTATTGAAAGCAAAGAACTTGCAGTTATATAGTGTTTTTCATAACCTTACATGTCCCAAAGCATTGTTCAGCCAACCATGTCATAGAGTTTATTTCTTCCTGGTAACAGATTACAGCATCGATGATTCATCTCGAGCGGTGGCTTCCGAAATATTTCTGGTCTCGCGCTGGTATCTGTGGGCTGCAGCTCGGACTCGACAACAGCTGGTATATCTGGTGAGAGCTCTGAAATGGTTCTTGTAGCATAGCTCAGGCAGGAAAGGAGTTAATGCCTTCACATCTTCCATTGAACAGTTGGGAACTTGGACACGAGTGTGGATGAGATTCAAATCATAATGGCTGCACCAGTATATGGAGGGAAGAAACAAATTGAAATAAACGAATATAAATTTTGTCTAAATTAGCTACTTGACTGCCTTCATGCCTGTTCCAGTTCATTTACTGAACGCAGTTGCCAACAAGCATCTTTCTGACTGGCCACAAATTGTATGTGCAGAGTTAAACTATTAAGATTTGCAAAAGAAAAGTTACCCGCAGCCTCCAGTAAAGTAAGTAGAAATTGCGAGCTAGTTCTGTCTTCCACCTTGATTTTTTTTATTCATTCACGGGATGAGGGCATCGCTGGCCAGGCCAGCATTTATTGCCCATCCCTAATTGCCCAGAGGGCAGTTCAGAGTCAACCACATTGCTGTGGATCTGGAGTCACATGTAGGCCAGACCAGGTGAGGATGACAGTTTCCTTCCCTAAAGGACATTAGTGAATCCAATGGGTTTTTCCCGACAATTGGCAATGGATTCACGGTCATCATTAGTCTCTTAATTCCAAATATTTATTGAATTCAATTACCACCATCTGCCGTGGCAGGATTCGAACCCAGGTCCCCAGAACATTATTTGGGTCTCTGGATTAAGAGTGCAGCGATAATATCACTAAGCCATTGCCTCCCCATAATTATAGGATTATAGGAGAAAGGGCATTGCGCTGGGAAACATATATTAGCCCTTTATAAATGCAAATAAGGGGATCAGCGCCTTTTTGAGGCCCTCATTAATTTTCTTGCCAGCTGCTAACATTAATTGTATTCAGGAAAATGAAGCCCAACGGAGGATTGGTGATGGTGGTGGGGAGGGCGGGAGTGGGGCGTGGTATCCTTAAAGGAGGTGACTGTTAACTGAGGACAAAATGTTTCCCACTGCTTCCCCTCTACTGTTATATCTCTTTCTTACCTCTCCCTACACTGCACTCAGGTCTCTAATTACTCCCCCTTACTGATCACCTATTGTGTCCTGCCACTATTTGCCACTTCCCCTCCCAGTAATAACTGGAAATGAACAGACTGGTCCTGCATTTTGAGGCATGCAGGATAAATCATTGAATCCCTACATTGCAGGTAGACACCATTTGGCCCATCAAGTCTGCACCAACCCTCCAAAGAGCATCCCACCCTGACCCCATATTTCCCATGGCTGATCCACTTAGCCTACACATCACTAGACACTATGGGCAATTTAGCATGGCCAATCCACCTAGCCTGCACATCTTTGGACTGTGGGAGGTAACCCATGCAGATATGGGGAGAATGTGCAAACTCCACAAAGACAATAGCCCAAGGCTGGAATTGAACCCAGGTCCCTGGTGTTGTGAGGTAGCAGTGCTAACCACTGAGCCACTGTGCTGCCCAAGGAAATGTTTGAACCCTTCCTGGCAGGGAATGGAACCCCAGTCTCCCATGTGACAGATGGGTATAACTAACCACTATACTGTGAGGACCTAGATCAGATCAGTATCTGTCATTTGCAAGTTTTACTGTTTGTTTTCTTCTGGACTGATGGCTCATTCACTGCACTACAACATCTACTGCATCATTTCCCCACACCCTCCTCCTTGCATCCCAATCTGTCTCCCACCAATCGACCATAATTTCTGCCCTGACTTACCTCACTTACCTACGGGTTCCTGCTAGGGTCATGGTGACCTGATTCGCTACTTTGCTTTGCCGACTGGAGCTATAGAATGGGGCCTGCCTCACTGTTGTACTGAAGGGGTTCCATCCTGCACTGCATGGGCCTACATATATCAAGATAATCCCCAAACGCAACTCGTTAAATAGTCTTCCTAACCACCTTCCTACCTTCCTGACAAATACTCATCATCCATTTACCATTTGTCCTCACCTCAAAATGTTCGAGGTGCTACGTAAATGCGATTTGTTACTTCTGTGGCCGCTCTATGTTGATCTACAGGGTGGAGGATACAGTCGATAGTGACGCACAAAGCTGTAGCAGCCCCAAGTGTGGAAAAGTGGAAGAACATCAGGAATCTGCAAACAAGGCTGAGAAAGAGCAATCATTGCCCAGTGAGAATGAGACTGAGCCGAACTCCAGCGTGGAGCTGCACATTCTCCGACGCAGATCCAAGGCACATTTTTCAGACGTGACTTCCAATGAGATTAAAGACGCTGATTGTTACCTGTAATTTCTGAGAGATATTCTGAGCCACTTCCATCTGGGCTTTTACGCAGTGGAGCATCTGTCCCTTTTGCTATCCACGTGCAGAAGGACAATGGGACCTATCATACATAAACCTGCAGGTGGCAAAGATATCACTTTGCTCAGGCAAATAATGTTTTGATGAGCAGTTGATGGTGAGGGCTTTCCAAAGTTTGTGCAATGTTGTTGAGCTTCACAATATTTACCAAGTATCCTCCCCCTTCTCTGGTATCTAAAGGAATCTTACTATTGTCCGAGAGGCTCAAATGCTTTATAATAGACACCTTAGGGGTAAGTTATAGGTTGGGTTCTAATGGAGGGGTTGTGAGATAGAGGATTATCCACAAATTGGAATCTAATCTTGGCCTTCAGGTGGTTTATAAATTGGATAACGTATATCTGGGAGTGATTGAGAATTGTACAGAGGGAATACAGATTTCCTCAGAATGGTGAAATTCCTGACAGTGTTTGTGTAAAAGATATTCATTTGGTCAGTGCCAAGATTGAAACTTTGACTGCTAATGAGGCATTTAAATATATATATTTATGTAAATTCAATAAATCTTTATTCTAATCTATATCTTTGTTTATGACGGCCTCCAACAATTCTAAATGACGACCATTCAGCACCCAATGTCATGATAGCCCTCCAAAGCTCACACTCAGTTGGACAGGTGCGCGTTAGATTTAACCCGTTGGTGAATGTCTGGAACCACATGTTCAAAAGGTGTTCAAAATCATGAGGGATCTGCGAAGGGTGGACAAGGAGAAAATATTCCCATTGGAGGATGGGTCAAGAATGAGAGGGCACGGTGCAAAAGACACAAACAGACACAACAGCAAAAGACACGGTGCAACAAGACACAAGGAGAAACAGTTTCACACGGTGAGCGATTACAATCTGGAATGTGCTGGCAGAGAGTGTGCTGAAGGCACTTGGAAGCTTTTGAAAGAGATTGAGATCTGAAAGGGAAAGATTTATAAGTCTACAAGGAAAAGGTAGTGGTCTATAAAATCACGAAAGGCATAGATAAGGAAATATCTTGCATGGTCAGGGAGTCTAAAACGAGAGGGGTTATGAAATAAAGGATTATCCCGTAACTCCTCTATCCCAGGTTTAAGGTGAAAGGAGAGAGATACAAAAGGTTCCAGGGTAACTTTTTCAAACAAAGGGTGGTGAGTGGAACAGGCTGCCAGAGGTAGTGGTGGAGGCGAGTACAATTTTGTTATTTAAGAAACGTTTGGACAGGTACATGAATGGGATAGGTGTGGAGGGATAGGATCCAGACTCAGGCAAATGGGACTAGACTAATTGTGAAAACTGGGTGGCATGGACACTTTGGGCCATAGGACCTGTTTCCATGCTGTAGACCTCTATGATTCTGTGAGTGGGACAAGGTGTACCCAATTCACAGAGAGCCAGCCTGAACACAAGATGCTGAATGGCCTCCGTTTGTGGCATAATCATCCTATGATTCTGTGTGGCTGAATGATAGATAGGGAACATTTCAGGGAGACATTGGATTGGGTGCTCAGTTCAGGGATAATTCCTTTTACTGACACCCCATGTGGAGTACACTGTTCTGCTTTTTGTGGTTCTGACCCGATCTGCCTGCCCTTCTCCATGTTTCTGATACCCTTCCTTCTCGAAGACTTTTTAAAATGATCTTCCAAAACACCTCAGTTGACAAGTGCACCTTATACAGTGGGTGTAGTAGATTATTTTTGAAAAAATGAAATGAGTCAGTTCTTCACTCCTCCCTGAAACATCTCTCTCATACTTTTGTCTCTGCTCTTTGCATTTTTCTCACTGTGATTCCAGCTCCCAAAACACAATTTATGTGCCTTATTCTGAGACACAGCCCGAGGTGTGAACCCTGCCTGCCACCCCTGCCTATCGAGCCCACACAGCCCAGGTTCAAAATACCAGGGAAGTGCAATGAAAGATTCCGTAAGGAAGCACTACACCAATTACAGGATATTTCTGCCCCCCTGGCTAGCTGCTGATAGGCTCATTAATGAGCTTGCTTAGACTATCAGCAGCAAATGCAGGAGGGAAGTGGTTTGTGATTGGAGGAAGAATGCATCATACGAAGGGGAGTGACTTCAGTACAGATTTTGCAGCCAGGCAGTAATTGGGGGTGTCTGGTCTGCATTGGCCCTTAGCCACACTTTCGCTGCCATCGCTGCTCCCCACTGTCTGACCACGCTGTCTATCTCTGCACAGCTCCTATCCCCAGAGCACGGTGCCCTTGGCCATTATGTTTCTTGCCATTCCCTTCAGCAACCTTTGCCCCTTTACGCCCCCTCTGACCCCTTCTCCCATCTCCCGCACCACTGTCCTTGACCATGTTCTCTCTTGGGTACACCGTCTTGCTGTCTTAGGTCGTGTTGTATAACTACAGTTCCTACAAGAGCAGGTCAGAGGCTAGGAATCCTGTTGTGAGTAACTCACCTCCTGACTCCCCAAGCCTCTCCATCATCCATGAGGCACAAGTCTGGAGCGTGATGGAATACTCCCCACTCACGTGGATGGGTGCAGCTCCAACAACACTCAAGAAGTTTGACACCATTCAGGACAAAGTAACCCAATTCATTGTCATTTCCTACACCAATTTCTACATCCACTCCCTCCGATGCTCAGTAGCAGCAATGCGTACTATCTGTGAGATACACTGTAGAAATTCACCAAGGCTCATTAGATAGCACACTCTAAACCCATGAGAACACTTCTATCTAGGGCAGCAGATACATGGGAACACCCCCCGCCCCGGCAAGCTCCCCTCCAAACCACTCACCAACCTGACTTAGAAATATATTACCATTCCTTCACTGTTGCTGGGTCAGGATCTTGTAATTCCCTCCCTAAGGGCATTGTGGGTCCACCATAACACATGGACTGTTGCAGTTCAAGAAAGCAGTTCACCCCCACTCAAGGGCAGTTAGGGATGGTCAATAGATACTGGCCCAGCCAGTGACACTTACATCTCATAAGGGACTTGAAAAAAAATTCTCCCTGCTACTACGCCCCCTACCCCCACCCCATTGCCCTTGACTACTCTCACTCCCCACTTACTCACCTCCACCCCACTTCAGTTTCTTACTGTGCTTTCTTATGTGAGTATGGGTGATTTTCACAGCAAACCCGGCATCTTTCTCACCTGTCTTTAGCGACTCTCACTCGCTCATGTTGGATGTGGCTGGGTGAAGCTGAGCGAGTGAATCCCTTCCTGAGGGAGTGAGATAGACGTACACACACACATGCACAGAAGTTGCTTGGTTTGGAGGTACACAACCTGAACTCCACCACCTGCTTCCACCTTTACCAAAAAACAAATTTCCTACACTGGGCTAGGAAGGGAGGAAAACCCAAGCTGAAAGGCATACCCACATCTGACCCACCACACCACCCGCCCCCACCCCCGCCCCCAGTATTGAATAAAATCCACCCAGTGCGGTCAATCATAACCTGTATTTCTCTGCTCAGAGTGGCTCTACGGGACTTTCCAATTCTTTTATTTCTTCTTGTTCAAAAATGCCTGGCCACTCCTGACAAAGGAAGGTTACATTGTTGACATTGCTTGTTAATTCTTGAAAGCATGCCGCCATTGTTTTGTCAAGGCAATTTTGACAAATGTTTTCTGCCTGCCATCCTGTTTGAACTGACTGCAAGCATGCGTAGGCTTTCCAACAGTTGTTGTTGGGTGGTCCTAAAACAAGCAGAGGCATAGTGTAGGTGTCAAAGGGGAGTAAGGCAATGGAACTTCTTGCAACAATCTTGGAGGTGCCTTATAGATGATAACACAAATCTGGCTGCCCCGCTTCCTCCCAAAGCATAGGCCATGGCTTCCCTGCAGAGGAAGAGGAGAACTACATGAGGATAACAACAAAAGACCTCTTACCCACCCACTGCCACTACCAACAGCACCATCCATACACAAAAACAAGAGCCCCAAATAACCTCAGCGTTAAGTTCTTGTTTTTCCTTAGCAGTTAATGTTGGTAGTGCATTAGTGGCTGTTTTAAATGCAAAATAATTGGGCCCATCATGCAAATATTAAAATAGAGATTACCATGGAAAAAGGAGACTATAATACCATACGTCTGCTATAAATTAACATCTATTGCTCTTTACTACTGTTTTAGTTATGGATTTTTGAAAGGTGGGTTATTTTCTAAAATCAATCAAATTTCAATTCAGAGCTTTTCCATAAATTGCTCCAATCTTTGAGCATTTGTTATTTGTTACAAAAAGTAATTATCTCTATGTAATGGATAACCTTTGATGATTGAAACATATTAAATTACTTTTCACGATTCATTATGCTGCTATATGAAAAAAAGATAATTAAATGTGAGATGTTGTAAGTTTGAAGGTGACACCAAAATTGTTGGTAGAAAGCAAAGAAGATTACCTCAGATATTGATCAGATGGGCCAATGGGCCAAGGAGTGGCAGATGGAGTTTAATTTAGATAAACGTGAGGTCTGCATTTTGGAAAGGCCAATCAGGGCAGGATTTATACTCTTAATGGTAAGGTCCTGGGGAGTGTTGCTGAACAAAGAGACCTTGCTGTGTAGATTCATAGTTCCTTGAAAGTGGAGTCACAGGTAGATAGGAGAGTGAAGAAGGTGTTTGGTACGCTTGCTTTTATTGTTCAGTGCGTTGAGTATAGGGTTTGGGAGGTCATATTGCAACTGTACAGGACATTGGTTAGGCCACCATTGGAATACTGCGTGCAATTCTGGTCCTCTTCCTATAGGAAGGACGTTGTGAAACTTGAAAGAGTTCAGAAAAGATTTACAAGGATGTTGCCAGGGTTGGAGAATTTGAGCTAAAGGGGAGGCTGAATAGATTGGGGCAATTTTCCCTGGAGTGTCGGAAGCTGAGGGGTAACCTCACAAAGGTTTATAAAATCACGAGGGGCCTGGGTAAGGTAAATAGACAAGATCTCTTCCCTGGGGCGTGGTGTCCAAAACTAGAGGG